TAAATTAATAAATTTTTTTAATAAACTTTAAAATTTTAAGTTTTACATTGAGTCAAAAAGCGTTCGGAGACTTTTGGTGGGGTCTGTATTTTGTTATAAATTTATTACGAACTCGAACCTACGAAATGCTAAATTAAATCACTCGGTTAATGACTTATAACAGAATGAAACAAGTGTCAATATGTATTAAGTGATTAACTTAATTTCTGATTATAACATTAATTTGTAAGCTAAAAATTTTATTAACAAAACGAAATAATTTTCATTTGTATAATAACTTTTTAAATGCAGAAATGAATAAAATAAATAAATCCGGAAAGAATGGATCTAAAACAAATAAATATAATAAATCATCTATTAGTTTTTTTTATTGAAATGTATATAGTAAAATTATGATAATTCTTGTGAAAGTGAAATCAGTCTTCAACCGAGATTTTTTGCATGAGCAATGTTCTTTCTAATGACATCACTTCTGAAGGAAGATACTGCTCTAATGGTAATTCCACATATGGTAAAATAATATATACCCATTTAATGATTGGATTTTTTCTAAGCATTTTTGATCGATCAAATATTACAATTAAGGAAATTGAATAACTTGAATAAGACGCGGTTAAGTGCCTAATATGGAAAGATTGGTAAGTTTACGAATATAATACATACACATAATCATTATATAACTTACCACCAAGCATGTAATTATAGATTCGAGATTTTATTCAACCCCTTACAAAAATGATAATTAATATGCCATCCTAGGTATTCAATTAAAAATATTATAGTTCCTCGAAGCATTAATAATCTTATACTAGTTTTACCCTTTAAATTAATTACGATTGCAATTATATGCAGGTATACGCAGATTGATATTAAGAAGAAAGAACTTAAAATGAAAATGATGAGCATCATGTCAAGTTCACGTAAAATGTTAAAAAATTTCCTACCTTGAAAGATATAAAATTCTAATAATTTCATGATTTTATTTTGATAATATCCTCCCAAAAATATTAATACTGTCGAAACAGTAAATTCCCATAAGAAGAGCGTAGTTGGGAACCAATTCCCAAATTTTCTCTCTTTCTTGTTTTCATTTACCGAATAAAATAACACCAATATATAAAAGATCATTGATATTCCATCAAAATGTTGTAACTGGAATAAAAATAGAATTGACCTGAATCCTATAACGGTAATTCTACAATTTTCATTAAAGTGTGAAAATGATTGGGTTTTAATTTCATGATATCATTGAAGATTATTTTTTAAACTTACGTTCTAAACATAATGTAAATCTATAATCAAAACCTTTGGCATGCATTATAGAGCCAAATATTCCCATGAAGATGAGACATAACGAAGAGATGGTATTATAAAATTCTGCGATATAGTAAGTTACTTCATAATTTTTCTCGCACCAATCTAGTAAGAGAGAAAAAAATGTGAACGAATTCGCGAAATTGTGATTTAAAAAAAAAAAATGTGGATATCAAAAAAGTTTGATAAATAATTGTAAAAGGACACAAATATTATTAACTCACCAACTATTTAATGTTTTAAAATAAAGATCACATGAAAATTATTAATATATTATAACGTAATAAATAAAATTTAAATCTAAAAAAATTGCCAATACCTGTAGAAGTGGGTTCTCCCTAAAATCCAATAGTGGAATTCATTTTAAGTAATTAAATTATATTCTAAAGTTCAAGTTGAAGCCTCTATAATAAATTTAGATTAATGGATCAAAGAGAGGAAAAACTTGGTTATTTATAATTTTATACCTTTTCAATTTTTTGATACATCGAAGGCCCGTTCAGATTTAACTTTAGGCAAGATCTTTATATGCAACATGAACAAAACCTGAGCGCTAAAAAGTTCGGGACGGATACTAATAAAAATAATAAACATATGAATTTCTTGGAGTATTTCGTTTTATAATTTATTAATTATATATCGCTTCTTAACTCAATATTACTTTCTTTTTGTAAGTATTTCATTAAATACCTCATTTTTAAAAACATTATTCTGATTAAAAAAAAGAAAAATAAAAAAAAGATCATTTTCATATACAGTCAACTCTTTCTATAACGAACCTCTTTATATCTAAATTTTAATAATTAATGGTTCATAGTAATTTTAAATAATTAAATTAAAAGAATTTTTTATTAACCCGAATGTGATACAGCCTAAATAAAAAGGAAATGATATTATTATTAGCTATGATGATATGCATAACAAGCCTAAATTAAAGATGCTAAAAAAAGAATTGAAGGAGGATTAAAAATGAAATAATATATTTATTTATAATTATAGGATTATTATATAATAATTAAGAAAATAAATAAATATAAAGATTTTCTTTTTAAAAAAAAAAGTAAATATATTAACATTAAATTTATATTAGATAAATAATAATAATATTACTATTTTAATAGTAAACTATAAAATAAACAAATAAAGTATCAATATAAAGATGATTAAAAAGTAAAATAAATAATAGAATAAAATAATAGAACAAAACAAAAATATAATATATAAGTAATTAATTAAATTAAAAAAATTAAAAAAATTATGATAAAATAAAAGTCTTATAATTCACATAAAAGTGTAAAAATTTAAGCAAATCTTTTAAAAAAATAGATAAAATAATATATAGCATTTGTTTTATTGTAACAAATACAATTTATTAATAATGATCATATAAATATATATGTAAATAAAAAAATCTACTAAAGAAATTTTAGCCATTAATAATATAAATATAAAAAATATACTCAAAAAGTATTTAAAAATCAAAGAAATATTGATATATCAAGTTTTCATAATAATAAATATATATAAATTTAAAGAAGAATAAAATGAATATAAGAAAAATGATATCAACTTTTTGCAAAACATTAAAGGATTTATAAATCATCTTTATAATATGAAGAAAATCTTATTAGAAAAGTCTTTTATTATTAAATATATTTTATTAAATAAATAATAAAAACTTTTAATACTTTTATAATAATATATATATATATTTATATCATATTTTTAAAAATTATAAAATATATTAAAAAAATATATACTTCAGCATAAATTGATAAATTTATTAATTAAATTGTATTTTGACAAACATAATTATTTATTAATAATTTATAATAAATATCAAATTTACATAATTAATTTTAATATTATCAAAAATTAATATTTACTTGAAAAATATATAAATCAGTTAAATATATATTTAATAATATTAAATAAATAAATTATATATTTTTTTTTTAAATAAAAAATTTGAATAATTATCTTTCTAAAAAATATATATAAAATTTATATATTTTATTTTAAAATAAAAGATTTTTAAAAAAAAACTTTTTTACTTTTATAATTGTAAAAGAAAAAATTAATTATTAAAGGAAAAAATATATAAAACTATTTTTAATTACAATTATATAAAAAATTTAATATAAAAAAGTTCTACAATAAAATTATTACTATTATTAAATAGTTTGAAAATAAAATAATTGTTTTTTTTTTTTTTTTTTTTTTTAACGTGCGGTAGCTTTGCACTAACTTTATTTAAAAGTAAAGTAAGATCTTACAA